CTCACTGCAGTGCAGGGCATCTGCTCCCTGATGACAGCTGTAATTAGTCATCACTTTGTGCTGAGCCCTGCTTTCAGCTGGGATAGAGTTAATTCTTCCTAGTAGCTGTTCAGTGCTGTGTTTTGTATTCACTGTGAGAGCACCACTGCTGACACCCTGATGTTGTGCTTGTTGCTAAGGAGTGCTCACTCCAAATCAAAGACTTTTCAGTTTCCTGCTCTGCCGTGAGGAGGTGCATGAGGAGACAGGAGGGAGCATGGCCAGGACATGGACACAAAGTAGCCAAAGGCACATTCCACAGCATGTGTATAAACTGGGGAGGGTTGGCTGGGAGCACTGGTGGCAGCTCAGGAATGGGTTGGGCATTAGCCAGCAGGTGGGAAGGAGCGGTATTGTGCATCATTGTCATCCTGAGGCTTATTTTTCTGTCTTTTTGTTCTGTCCTTTTTCATTACAATTTTTTTAAAGATTTTTTTTTTTGCTGTTGCTATTAAACTGTTCTTATCTCAACCCACAGGTTTTACCTTTTGTTTTTTTCCTGATTCTTTTCCCTATTCCACTGGGAGAGGGGAGGGAGGTGAGCAAGTTGCTGCCTGGTACTTAGTTGCTCGCCGGAGTTAAACCATTGCAGTTTGCAAGAGATTTGGTTTTGAGTTCTTCCAATGTCTCTTAGGACACCCTTTTCAAATTATTTTCTGTGAACTCCCCAGTTTGCCCTCTGCTTTGTTTTTTCATTGTGGAAAGCTATGATGCTCTTTATCCTCACCATTAAGTTGCAGGATGTGCAAATAATAACTTTTGCTACTTTGGTATCCCCCCTAGCAAAACAGTCTGGTGGTTCTTTTCTATCATGGATTTCTGGATGGCAACCTTTGTTTCCAAAAATTGAGACACAACAGGAACATCTGTGTTTGCCATCTGCAAGACATTTCTTTCTAGGATCCCAGGGCTGGTTGCAGGGCTTCCAGACATCCCTACTGCTTGTTCCCCTGGGTGCACAGGGAGGAGACAACAGGTGTGTAACTATAACACTGCTGCATGTCGTTCTCAACTCTTCAGCACATCCTGCTGTCTCTGGAGCACAGCCTGCCCAGGTCTGTTTGAACACCCAGCATCTCCTCTCAGTTGTGTCCGGCCACTCATGCCTGCATCCCATTTTATGCAGTTTTTGCTGTTAACAGCAAGGTGCTGGCCCTGGCAAAGCAGCCAGGTATTGTGGAAAAGAGCCTTCCCTATTATTGGCCAGGCATTATATGCTTGGAGAGGTTTTCAGTTTTAGATTTTTTGAGAAGGTCAAGAAAGAATTGTTTCTGTTTCTTTTTTTTTTCCCCTCTGCAAAATTGTTTCTGAATATAGCAGTATTTATTGCTTACTTTCCTAACTTGTTTAATCCTGCAACTGCCATTAGATAAAATAATGAACCGAGTTACTTTTTCATAAAGGCAATGTAAATATTTGTTTTCCACTGGATTCCAATAAAAAAGTTTTCATGGATTATTGGCAGTAAATTATTTTAAGTTATACATTTAAAAGTGAACAAAGCTATATATGTGAAAAAGGTTAAGCTTCTTACCCTTTTATCAGTGTTGTATGAGATCTGAAATCTTAACGCTCGTATTTTGATTTTCAGTTCCTTCTTTTTTCATTTATATTGCAAATGCTTACTACTAAGAAATCAAACAGTTTCCTGCATTCACTTCTCCCCTTCTCATCTTCTAATTCTGGTCTGATTCTGATAGTATAGTTTATATGTTGTCATTTGCAGTGGTCCACTGAGTGAATTACAATTCTCTTGTTTGTGTTCTGCATTTTACATTTGGCTCTTGAAAGGTAGATGGGGAGGAAGAAGGGCACAGTCTCAAACCTCTTTTTTCCCAGATTTTTAGAATTTATTTACTACTCTGAGATGAAACAAATGAAAGATGGATGCTCTTTTATTTCCATTGTGCTTTTTATCTCAAAAGCAGATTTTCTATTTCATAGAAGTGTTTTGAAGCATTACTCCCAAGTATCACCTAGACCCCCATCTACATAGAAAGTATAAAAAGAACTAGGGCATTTTACACCTATATTAATAATTTTTCCATACAAAACTATAACATAGTTTAACCTGTAAATCCTTCCCCAATAGGTGGCAATGCTTTTACTCAGGCAAAGTAATCTTAGAAATTCATAGCCTACTTTCTTTATATAGGGTACATTTATCAAGTAGGATGGAATAGGTCCTTCAAGGATGTTTCATAGACAATTTGTTTTCTTTTTGAATGGCTGGACACAATGTCAAACAATTGGCAAGATCCTGAACAGCTTGAAAAATTAAAAATGGGTGACCATAATTTCTTAAGTATCTTTTTTCTCTTTAAAGTAAAAAAAAAACTCACTTAGTTATGAACATTAACTTTTTTCTTGCTTTGAGGCATTCTCAGTAAATTTCCTTATGATAACACAGGTCCCCAGGACCTTGCTTTTTGCACTGCTTAACTTTCATGAGCCTCTGGCAATAGACTGGTGATATCAGAAAGTTGAAACCTGAGAGCTGTTTTTCAATAGGGTTTTTTAAAAGATTTCTTTGGATTGCAAGTCTGTAAATATGGTACAAAATGCAGGAAGTTTCAGCTCCCTCCCAGCACATTTTCATTTTCGAGTAGCAGTTCAGGCTATGTGTTGTAGTTCTGAGCAGAAGATATTTAGAGCCATTCAGACTTGACTACCTACGGTTATGTTTCTAAATACATTTCAGGCTATTAGAATGCAGAGCCATTGGCTCTGTAGGAGGAGCGCTGAGTGGTCTGGCACTCTGATGACTAAAGATAAACTCTTTAACAGCCTAAATTTAGGCACCTCATTTTAAAAACTTTGCCCCAGATATGTGAACCCAGAAGAATGAGATACGATAATTCATTTCAAATTCCCTGGCTCTTGCGTCTCCCCAGACTGAGCATTTATTCATACAAATTGCTCACTGTTGCAGATGAATCACTCAATGTAGCCAGTGCAATAACTCTGCACCTGAGCATTATTTAATTCTGCTTTGCTAATGCTAGCAGCACTTTGCTCTTTCTCTCTCTGTTACAGCACCTGGCTACTTTGGCTTTGTGTGGATATATTTGGGAGCTGAATAGGGAGAAAACGTACACATTTTTGCCCTCCTGTTCATCACTGCTATCTTTCCTAAGAGCTGCTGTTCCTCAGGTGGTCAGTTTAATGTTCCTCCCAGCTAAAAGAAATGGAAGGGAGGCAATTACCAAGGGGATGTTGCTCTTCATGGTAAAGAGAATTACTGTGTTCTGTCTGTGTTGATTTTCCTCTTTCAATGAGTTTGTGGTTTCTCTTGGGATTTTTGTCTCTTTAAAGGAGTATTTCAGCTTGGGAACATGAGAAATAGAGGGAGATACGTGTGTTGCCCACAATTTTCTCTTGTGGTTGTATGGACTACACAAATGAGTAAAATTTTAAAACAGTTACTTCGGCAAGTAATTTAAACCTTTTTTAAGGACGCAGTGTAAGCTAAGATTAATGTTAAAGATGCTGATGTTGGCTACTTAGTGAAGTTTTACCTCATATTTTTGAAGGAATGAGATACCCCTTAGCCTATATCAAGGATGGATTTCTTGTCATTCCAGTGCAGCCTTAGAAGTCGTGGGCGTTTATTCTAAGCCAGTCATCTGTAGTCAGTGTCATAAGAGAAGGTGATTCATCCCATCTGACACTAAATATCTGAGAGGCTTATTATGCAAATGTGTTCTGAAGAGGAAGGTGGTTGATGATGTTCCTGCTCAGCCCAGTGCTACAGTCTACAGAGCCTCTGAGTACCACTGCAGTCTTTTTTGACATACTGTGGAAATTATCCAGGTTGAAAATTAGTAACTGGAAGTATTTTGTTCATTTGTATTTGTTTGCAGTTTTTGTTTTAAATTGGGTTCATTTCAGTGATTCATAGGGCCATTTATAACAGAGAGATAAGAATATCTGTTCAATAAATGGGGTCATACTGGCACAGAAGAAAGAAGTGGTTGAAGGCAGGAACATTCAAAATGGTGTAATGAACTGCCTCCTGAAATACATGTGTGCACTGTTTTATTAGCAGAGATGAACACACTGCAGTAATTGTTTAACCATGTATTAAGCAGGACATTAACAATATCACTGGCAGTGTAGTGTACATCTCTCCATGCTTGCTATCACTTTATTAGACTATTAAGTGTCTTGAAGTGAGCTTATCCATGTCAAACAAAGGGGACACTTAGGAACTTGTGTGTTTATTGCGAGATCCTTCAACTGAGGTTCTCTCTCAGTACTAGTAGTGCAATCTTCTCCAGTTTTAGCTTCCCAGTGGGTTATACATGTATGGATAAATATGCAAACTGCTGAGATGGGATGTTTCTTTATAGTATTTAGTGATTATCCAAGTTCATACCAGGAACACAGTAACGTGACCATGCAAATAATAACTTTGTCTTGAGCCTTATGTAAATGTGAGGAGAGGGTGAGCTCTCATATAAATGTGCGAACTTCGCTTGAGCATCTCACTGTCATGTTTTTAATTAATTAGGTGAGTTAACAAATAAACTATCAGAGGTGTAATGAGCCATAGACAATATATTTTGGGAGGCATATTGAAAAGAAACCCAGCTGAGGAGGATCATTAGATATATCATAGAGAAGGTAGATCTCCTGAACTGCATGTTCTGTGCAGTTATTCACCACAGGATCCCTTATGCTCATGTACCACCCTGTCCCAGTGTGCTTTTGTGGTACATGGACACAGTCAGGGTACTTTGGTTTAGGAACTGAATTCAGAGAAAAGTGGCTGCCACCAATTAGTTACTGTTCCATGAAGCAGCAGAGGAAGAGATGAAAAGAACTATACTGAAACAGTATCAGTAGCAATGAAAACAATCAGAATTAGCTTTATATTACATTTTTATATAAGTTCTTTCTGGAATATATTTTCCATGTTTTATTTATTTTTATTATTATGTTTCTTTTTATTTTTGTAGGCTGTGGAAACCAACCTTGCATCAAAGGATAGTCACTGGGTCTATGTAAATGAGGTAAGAAAGTCAAAAGAGAAAACACAGCTCACTACATTCACTCATCACCATCTTTTGTTTCATATGTTTTGACACACCAAACTGAGCATATATGTAGCATTTTTGCTTTTTGAATGGCACAAGGTTCAAACTGTGGTGTCATTGCTTGTCTGTCTTAGTTGAATTGGCATAGGTTGGACACCAGGGGTCAAGATAAAGCTTCCAATGTACCTCAGAGAAACGGGGAGACTTGCTTTTACCTTCCTGCTGACACTATTTCATTAGCTATTTAGGGGGCAGAGGATATCTCAAACACAGGAATCTCTCTGGCAGAAGCTCACCCTCCACTGCTGTGAAAGCCTGCACACAGATGCCAGGAGAGAAAAGAGCCCTTGCAAGTTTAGTCCATTCAAATATGTATTTACATGACACACAGGCTTTCTCTAGTGCAGAACTGTGTTGGTGTATTGGCCAACATCCAGAATAACTTAAATTCAAAGCGTAATGTTTCTCTCTGCAGCAAATGGGATCCTATTCCTACTACAAAGATTATTTATTTTACCTTAGTGCCATGATGCCCTAATGAGAACTTGTTCAGATTCTTATTTCAAAAACAATGAAATGTTGTACCATATATAGTAACTTATAAATCACTGATAAATGGCATTATTTTATAAATTCCTTGTTTTAATAATAATTTATTTAAAGATAGCAAAATATATAATTTAAAAAGAACAGTGTTCAATGTCTTATTTTTATATTATAAATGCATAGCCTCCAATTTAATAGTCAATTCCTTTGTTAATTTCTCCCTCCTTTCTTTGCACCTAGCTAATAATTTTGGATAGGCAACTCTTAATAGTAACTATAAATTGTATTGTATGGCATTAGACAGGCTCTGTAATTAAATAGGGGTTAGGGAAAGTGAGTGAAATCCCTGCTTGTGAAGGCTTTGTAAATTCTTTCTAGTCCTTTTTATATTTAAGTACCTCCTGGTTTGTCAGCTGCTGTAATGACCCACTACAAAACATCAGCAAGATGCCCAGAGAGTCAGTGTTTATATTCACATAAAGATAATGCAGTGCATATTTCCCTAAACATTTATAGAGAGGGAGTGTTTGTGAATTTTTTACTGCTTCTGTTATTGTTCAGATGTTAAAATTCAATTCACGAAGCCTAAATCTGTAACATTCTGATAAAAGCCTTCAGCATTTGTGCACTAATGTGTGCACACTTGTACACACACAAATAAATCACACAGGGTGCCAGTTCTGCCTCTCCTTTGGATGCTTTTGTTTTTTTTCTCCTTTGTGGCTAAAGACTGGGTAGGGAAGCTATGAGGGCAGCGTGTGAATTTAAAGTGTAAATTGAGAGTGTAAATTTCTAGTGAAAAGTATCAATGCACATAATACATAAATATCTGAAAATGCAATTCAATCTAAACAGACAATTAGAGAAGCCTTTCAGACTCACAAAACTTTGGAAAAACTCTTTGCAGGCAAAAGGAAGAGGAAATGTCACGACTGTCCTTTCTTTAACAGAAGTGTTGGAATTTGTATGTGTGATTAAAGCTACTGTGAGAAGAAGATGCATTGAACATCTCCATGGATGCATCTATAGAAATTTGGAGGTTTCTTAGGGCTTGCTTCTTATTTAAGTGTGCATCCCTCCATGCCAGCAAGAAGACAGACTGATTAAGCTTTCCATGTACATGTTTCCAATTAGTGGTACTGGGAAGTGCATGAATATTTGATGGAAAAGATGATGCTGATTCTTACTGTGATTTGTGGAATGGAATTAACTTTTAATTCCCAACAGTCAAATCATCTCTTTTTGATGTGTTTCCATGAGAGTAGAAGTCCATTATGCAAATGGACCAAAACCTTAGCCAGTCTTTTTTTATCCTGTGCAGATTGAGGACCCTACACCCTATTCACCCTGTGACCCAGTGATCCCATTGCAAGGAAAGAGGGATGTAGGGCTGACTGATTGAAGGGGCAGTGGCACGAAGAGACCACAGGGACAATTTTTTTCCATGGAGGTTCCTTGTATGAAGAGCACTGGATTGTAAGCAGGTTTTCCAGGCCTTGTGCACTTCAGGGAACCCATGAAGGGCTTTGGACAGCCTGGACTACTGAGATCTGCTGACCCAGAGCACCTTAGAGTGTACTCTGTCTCCCACTTCTCCTCAAGCCCATGAGGACCTGAAACTTAGACTTACCTTGCTGTAGGGAGCATGACTATATAGCATGGTATTATTTCAATAAGAATTTTATTATTAAATTAAATCTACTTTACTCCCTTTGCACTGACAATCTGATAAAAATTTGTGTTTGGTTGTTTTTTTTCCCTTGTGTGCCTTCCCATGTGGTAGAATAGGAGTTAAGTTTTGGAGGTGGAACAAATTTTATTACTTAAATTTTGTTAGATAAGCAAGACCACCAAGCTTTGGATGAGCTAACTGTACATCTGTATGACTGGTAATTATGCAGCAAATGAACAAACAGCTGTACTAATAAAATCCTGTTTGCTAGTTTTCAATAACCCAGGTCTGTGCTGAAGTATCGGTTCAGTTTGGATGCCATTGCTAGTGAGAAAGGACTTGGTCATCTTTAGAAAAAGGCTGGTTTATTGGGAGTTAAATTTATTTTGTGGAGTTGGAAGGCTGAACCATTACCTGGCAGGTTTTCTAGGGTAAGAGAATACACAGGGATGGATCTTTTCAGGCAGTATCATGTCCTCATATGTCCTCTTTGCAGCCAAAGTGATAAAAAAACTTACTGCTTAAAAATATATATATTTGTGTGCCCAGTTTTCTGGTTTCAAACAGGTTATGTTTCAATATTGCAATAGCTGTCAAAAGTAGTGAAGATTAGAAGGAAAAACAAGAAAAGTTTTCTAACTACCCATCCCCTTTTTGATTTATATTTCATTGTCTGCACTTTTTGTTTTTTATTCATCTAGAAATGCTAAATCATCTCTTGCTTTCATTTAGACATTGGTTCTACCTAAATTATGGGTTAAATATGCCAGGTAGCTTTTTATGATGACTACTACATGCTTAGCTGTGTCTCCAGAATTGTCCAAACCACTTCATTATCATTGCCTGTGTGGGGAGCTGTCAATGACTTGCAGTTTTGGGAGATCTGTTAGAACATATCTGGTGTTCTGCTTGGACCTTTGATGGTTGAAGTGCCCACCAGCTTTGATAGACGTGTGTTGCTGCTTCTTTTGGCAAGACTAGCACAGTTACAGATGGCCCCTGTCTTTTGCATATTTATTTCCTGTTTTTTTCCCTAGTTTTCTTTATTATTTTTATTTTTTCTCTTTTCTTTCTCTTTCATACCTGGCATTAAGCATCTCTGTTGGCTCCTCATGACATTTTTCATTCTCCCCTTCTCTTTTTCTGCCTTTTCTGATAAAATGCTGTGCCTTGCCCAGGGCATATGTCTGTGGGAGAGGTACAAGAGCAGTACTTGAAACTGAATTTGGATGTTGTTGTACCAGGAGCAGTGCTCCAGGAGCTTGTGTCTGCTTCTTTATTAGCAGCAGCAGTAGGTCTGGGAGTATAAAAAGAGTTAGAAACCATGTTTCCCCTTTTGTGGGACGTTTTTAAAATTGTCTCCATTCCAAGGGTAAAGAAGAGATAAATTATTCTGGAAAACTGGAATATTGAACAAAATTATAATAAAATTAAACACAGTATTTTATTCTCTCATCTCAATATACTTAATTCTAATTCCAAGTTTCTAAACATTCACTATTTTTACATGTAAATCAGTACAAAAAGAACTACTCTTCCTGCAAGTGGAATGGTACAGAATTTGGCAGATAATGCAAGTTAGTTGTTTTACTATTAAGACATCATTTCTTTAATTTCTTTTTCACCTTCTTTTTTATTCAGTTGTTTAATCAAAAAACTGTTAGATATGATCAGGCAAAGCACAACACTACTGACTGATATAGGAGAACACTTTTTGTGAAGGGCAGGTAGGGATGAAATAAAGATAATGCAATGTTACATGTCAAAAAACATCTGTACCCATTCTGAAGCTGAGAAGAGGTGAGAGACAAACTTTTGCCTGGAAATATGCAGAAGACACTGAGGAAAACTGTTTTCAAAAGGGACTTGTTGGGGCATTTCTGTTTAAAAAAAAGACAAGAAATTAAAGGATTATTTTAATTCCTTGCAGTGGAGAAAATAGGGTTGGGACACAGACAGAGCTTCACAAATTTCCTTTGATTGACCTTATCTGTACATGTTCAAAATGTTAAGACAGCCATCAGTTCAGATTTCATTATGGCTGAGGAAGAATGGGCTGAGGAAGCCAGAAGATAATTAGTGTGAAAGTGATCATGCCATGGTAACACGAACTTTTTGGAGAAGAGGGAGAGGTGGGAAAAGGACCATGGGGATAATGGACATCAAAAGATTGTCCAACTTCACAGCTTTGGGAAATTAGTAGTAATGCTTTTGGAAAGATAACTCAGTAAGTAAAGGGTGGCTAAAGAACTGGGATTCTCTGAAGATGAAGGCATAACAAAGTATTCTTATGGTGACAGTGGGTTATCTTCACAGAAATTGAAATCAGAGATGAATTCTAAAGAAAAAGCGGTTTAAGAAAAGGGCTAGGGAAGAGTGTAAAGGAGTAATAAAGTAAGGAATTATAAAATAAGGCTGTGTTGCAAAATGACTCATACCAGGGATCATGAAAAGCAATAAAAAAGTTTATATATAGCAGAAGATAAAATGAGAGGTGATTACTTGAAAAATGGGGGTGTAATGTTTTTACTTAGTTCCCTGATTCTGACTTTATAGAAACTATTAATTATTACCAGACTGTTAAAAACACATTGTTGTAGTTCCAGTTGTTTTAGGTGAATTTGAAGCACTCCACCAGGTGAGATTTAATATAGAGAAGTGCCCTTGCTTGTGGCTACAAAATGAGGTATAGGTGGTGAGCACCTTCACGAGCAGCTTAGAATCCTTGTGGATAAAAGCCAGAATGAGAATCAGTGCT